TCTAGAATTTATGTATGCTTGGTAGTTTAACCAAAAATACCTTGAGGTTAAGAAAGATTTCTGGGGATGGATTCGGAGGGTTGCAAAAATGAATGTCGTATAAGCTAAGAGGTGAAGGTTCATAAGGATTGTGAGTATTTAGGAATGGGAAGTTTTTAAGAATCATATGTAACATCCCAAAAATTTCAATAAATTTAAACTTTTCAAAACAACTCATATACTGATGAAAGTGTTTACAAAAACATTGTCTCCAAAACATGATTTAAAATCAGAGTCTCCCAAGATCCAATCTGATGTTAAACCAAGGATGAGTACGGTCACGCCTTCGCCTTGCCACTGAGGTACCTAAAACAATAAACCAAAACTGTAAGCACGAAGTTTATTGAGTTTCCCTAAAATACCACCACACAAACAGATAACATATACAACAAGCATGCTCAATTTCTCTTGCCTGGCCCAATCAGCCTCAGGATGGAATACCAGGCATGTCTACGATGGGCCCAGTCATCCTCAAGATGGAATACCCTCATATCATAAGCAGTTTGGTCCAATCAACCATCGGGTTGGAATACCAAACATGTCGGGTCCATTCAACCATCGGGTTGGAATACCCCAGGCCTGTTGATTGACGCACAAAGCAGTCCAGTCTTACCACATACCATATTATCATATCGGGTCCAGTCAACCATCGAGTTGGAATACCCCAGGCCCAATCAACCCTCGGGTTGGAATGCCAATATACAACGGGTCCAGTCATCCTCCAGATGCAATACCCTCGGGCCCAGTCAACCATCAGGTTGGAATGTCCCCGGTCTGTTGGATCATGCACATAGCAGTAAAACCTCCACCATCAATCAACATATAACCAGTCAACAAACAATCGAACAGGTCTACAGATCACTAAGCATAGCATCATCCTATCTACCAGGATACCGATCTAACAGATCACTACAGCATAACATCATCCTATCTACCAGGATACCGATCTAACAGATCACAACATCAAAAAACATGCATAACAAGATATCAATCCAAAGGGCCGGCATTGGTGCCTACAACCCATAAGTACAATGAGGAAAACTCACCTCGCACTGCCGAAACTCATAGAAAGAATCTTTGGTTTTTGTCCCGCAAGAATCCTGCGCTATCAAACACAAGATAAGCATCCATCAATAATCTTATCTGACCCATACTAAGTGTCCAAACTAGGGTAAAAGACATTTTTACCCTTTCCAACTTGGCCCACAAACCAAGGCCCAATCCATCAATCTAAAAGCCCAAATTCCTATTAATTACCCAAAGCCCAAATATGGTCCAGTTTTCCATATTGGGCCCAAACCCTTTCATGGGCCTTAATCCAGAGACCAAAACATTTATAGCCCAAAAATACTTGAATTTTGATGGCCCAACAAGGCCCAAAGCATCAAAGCCCAAGAATGGCCCAACCGAATATCCCATAATCCGAGGCCCAGCCTGCTGAGTACGCTGGGCATACTCAGCTCGTACGCGCAGCGTATGCGCCTCAGAGCTTGTACGCTAAGCGTACTTGCTTGCACGCCCAGCGTACCCTCGCATTAATCCAACTTTCATTTTAAGCTCTTAATCCATAAAGACTTTGCACCACAACCTAGATCTGACTTCCATGGACTGATTAATCACATAAAGTTATCATCTTTACGTTCAAGCATGCCTAAATGAAGCTATTAAGCTTTACAATGACTTAATAAACATCTTAATGCATGTATGAGACCCAATACCCCATAAAGTTGGTACCTTTATGCATAAGGAACTCCCAACAAGCTCAGATCCAAAAGAATATGTCCTTCAAATGCCTTATCTCAATAACCAACCCAAAAAGAGACCAAAGATACAACAAATTAATCCATAAAGAGATTTGAACATCTACAAGCCAAGGTATGAACTTGATACCTCAAGGAGATTGCCAAAAGTGAGATGATTCTGGATCCATGACCTTCCTTCCAAGCAAGACACCTTGAATCTTCAAAACTTCCTTCACAAAGAGAAGAACAACCACTAAAATCCTTTCAAAGGCCCAAGAACACCACCAAGGAAGCTTAAGAGACGAATTAGGGTTTTAGGAGGCTTGGGGGTTGGTAAAGAGGCCAGCCCTAAAGACTTAAGGTGCTTAAATAGGGTACACTTGCTCAAAGTTTAGGGTTTAGACACTCCTCATATGCCCAGCGCACTCCTCGTACGCTCAGCGTACGAGGCCGAAGATTCGCGACCAAGTCTGCTGACTACGCTTAACGTATGCCAAGGTACTCACCGCATAAGTGCCCTCGCACGAGTACTCCCTGCGTACTCCCCATGTACGCCCCGCGTACTAGGGTTTTTCCCAAAAACCCTAAATTCTTCCGAAGGCCATAACTTCTTCATTCTAAGTCCGTTTCTGACGAACTTTATATCAACGGAAAAGTGGCGAGAAGCCCTACACTTCTAACAACCCATCATACCCTTAAAACTCCCCGAACCAAATCTCGAAATTCATAAAGGACTGAGATAACAAATTATGATTATGCCCTTGGGCTCCGAAACACCATCGAACACTCGGATCACTTAGACTTTAACACCCTCATCCAAAAAAGGCCAAATCCTTTCTTCCCCAAGATCCCAAGCCTTAAGATAACTGATGATCGGGACGCATCCCCTAATAATGAAGTGATTCGAAACTGGGTGTTACAACTCTCCCCCACTTAAATTCGATTTCGTCCTCGAAATCATTCCTTATCATCCACGGCATGCCCGACGGCCTGAGGGACACAACCACAACCTTGATCATACAATTACCTTCCCAAGGCAATCGAACCCAGCAAAACTTTCCACCCGAAGAAGACGAATCCACAAACCCATGCAGAACCCAACCTACTTTATCTGAAACCTGAAGTCTCGAATTGGTCTGACTCCCTGACAGACTGCCCATACTGAACCAATGCTAAACCCATGACACTTATCCATCAAACTATATATTCAACTCCTGATGATAACAACTCCATGAACACAATGAGATACAAGATATAGATTTCCTTAACTGTCGGATCGATACGTTGCTGCTATAATCCTGAAGCCTCATCACTTACCCGACCTTCACACAGGTAGAACCATCCCAGAGCACAGACACAAAAGCTAAATCATGAACCCTCCAACTGATGCCTTTGACATACATATTTCTTAACCAACACCTCTCTGAATACAGACCTTGCACGGATACACTCGCGATTCCCAACGCGAGTTTCCAACAAAAACCCACTTGAAAATGGCCACTCATACAATCTTCTCGTAGACCCTTCCCTAAAATTGTTGAACATCCATTTATGAATCTACCACCAGTCCTTGACTGGAGACACTACCAGAAACATGTAGAAACGATCCTCAAAACATATCGATCGCTAACTTCCCTCAAAACCAAACCATATGATGAACCAAAACCTTCATAACCCTTGACTCTTTGTTATGTCATTACCAACCACTGCTTCAACGAGCAAAGATGGTCAAACCAAGAATTTACGCATTACATCCAACCCCTTAACGGCTCAGGTGTACCCCCCCACCTAAACAACCACTCGGAACATTCATAATGAACTTTATGACTTGCGACCTCATACCCAATTCCTAACTCGAAAATCAAAACCCTAACAACAGCTTGGTCGGAATGAACATGTTGGCCGAAAAGTTGTCGGAATACCATAAAGAATTGTGGTCAAACTCTTAACCACCAAAAGTTAACTATTCCTAAGACCTCTCAAAATTAATAGTATATACAATTTATGAGGGGCCAAAATTGTCAATATCATAAAGAATTGGCCAAACTCTTCACCACCAAAAGTTAACTATTCATAAGACCCCTCAAAATTAATAGTATATATAATGAAATCAAAGCTATAAGTACATAAAAGGAATATTCCATAAGTTATATATTAAACAACAACAAAAACGACATAGTTTAATATATATATATATATATATATATATATATATATATATATATATATATATATATATTAATTTAGAGATATATATATATTGTTCTGTATCGATTGGATCAAATCCCATTGGGACATAAGAATAATAACTATTTTTTTTTTCGAACGGCCATAAGAATAATAATTGACACGACAATAAAGACATTAGTTTATTTTCCAAGTTGGTTCAATTTAAAGGGAAAATACCAGCAATAGTCAAAAAATGGGGGGTAATTTCAAAATTTAGACATGAAAATGGACATTTTCAGGTATAGACATGCATTCCGCGGAGGTAGCTCCGCGGAGCTCCGCAGAATGTATTGTAGCTCCGCGGAATGGATCTTTAGAATTTTTTTTTTTTTTTTTCACATAGTTTCTTCGGAGTTTAGATTAATTCCACAACTAATTATTTTCAAGAAAAAAAATTATGATAGTATGATAATCTTTGCTTGAAAATGATTAGTTGGGAAATGAATATAAACCTCGAAGAATCGATGTGAAAAAAAAAAAAAAAAAAAAAAAAAAAAAAAAAAAAAACTGAAGATCCATCCTCGGAGCTACCTCCGCGGAATGAGTTCATTCCTCGGAAGTAGCTCCGCAGAATGGATCTTGAGTTTTTTCTTTTTTTTAATACACTCATTTATTTACGATTTTGCCATTCCGCGGAGTTACCTCCGCGGAATCCATGTCTATATCTGGAAATCCAATTTTTTGTGTCTGTTTTTTAAAAATACTCTCATTTTTTTACTATTGCCGGTATTTTCCCATTTAATGAACATAAAAAGCCAATTTCGAGACAGATATATAACAGTCGTATAGTAACTTTTGTATGCCATTTTTTGTTAATTAGTGAAAAAAACAAAATCTAAAATGCAAGCTTGTCTTCTAGTAAAAAAAGATCCACCAATGAAGATACCTATGACCAGATTTCCAAGATACCTATATGATCAGATTTCCAATGTTGTTTTCAAACCCTATATAAACCCTAACTCCTCCATCTCATTTAGTACCACAAATTATTATAACTTTCCCTCTCCTTCAGATGGCCTCAATGATTTCATCAATGTCTAGCGTAAAAAGCTATGGCTTTCCCCCAGGCGTGGGTGTCTCCGGAATTGCTAGGATTTCACCCATCTTTGGGATTCCTAAAGTTTCTACAAAGAAAACTAAAACCGCGACTGTGAACGTAGCCACCGATCTGCCAGGGATTCAATCACCACTTGAGAAAGAAACGGTAGAGCACCGAAAACTAGTGGCATGGACTAGTGTCCGGCAAGAGAGGTGGGAAGGCGAGCTAGTTGTTGAAGGAGAAATACCTAAGTGGCTGGTATGAAACCATATATGATCACTTATATATTCGTGTTGTATTGTTTTTTTAAAGAATTTACATCTAATGTCAAATCATGGATCAGATATATTAAAGTTTTGTTAGACTTCACTGATCTTTGAATTACATACTCAACAAAAATACATGATTATATTGTTATAATGAGTTATATATACATGCATGCTAAATTAAAGCAACAAAGAATAATTGTCTACCTTTTTATCTAGCTGTCTATCTATATATAACATTAATACACAATATAATATATAGTTTAGTTCACCTTTAATCCAAAATAGGTAAACCTTTTTTTTAATATATATAATGCAATATATAAAATATTAGTCTTTTGGGTTGTTTAATAAACGACAATACCTTAATCCAAAGTTATTTAAAGTTTATTAACAAAATACTTGTGATCACGTTGATTTTGATAATAAATTTTCTTGATTTAGCTAAAAGATAAGTAAACATTTTAAGTATTTGATTATTAAAAAAAATCTTGTTCATTTATGTATATACTCTTTGGAATAAAATATCCACCAAAGATTAAAACTACTCTATAACATTATTATTTTTATTTACTAGTGAAATAAAACGATTACTACGATTCATCTATTCTTGTTCTTTTGTGTAGAGTGGAACGTACTTGAGAAACGGACCAGGGCTATGGCACGTCGGCGACTACGATTTCCGCCACCTCTTTGATGGCTACGCCACCCTAGTCGGCCTCCACTTCAACAACGGTCACCTCACTATGGGTCATCGGCAAATCGAATCTGAAGCCTATAAAGCAGCAAAAAATAGCAACAAACTGTGTTACCGAGAGTTTTCTGAAGTCCCTAAGCACGACAATTTCCTAGCATACATCGGCGACCTAGCCAACCTATTTTCCGGTGCCTCTTTGACGGATAATGCCAACACCGGCGTGGTTAAATTAGCGGACGGCAGGGTGGTTTGTTTAACGGAAACCATTAAAGGGTCGATCGTGGTCGATCCAAATACGTTGGATACGTTAGAGAAGTTTGAATACACCGATTCTTGGGGTGGATTGATTCACTCGGCTCACCCCATAGTGACTGACTCAGAATTCATAACGTTGTTGCCGGATCTGATAAACCCTGGTTATATGGTGGCAAGAATGGATCCGGGTACAAATGAAAGAAAGGTGATTGGTAGGGTTGATTGTCGCGGTGGGCCGTCTCCGGGATGGGTACACTCTTTTCCGGTGACTGAACATTATGTGATTGTGCCGGAGATGCCATTGAGGTATTGTGCCCAGAATTTGTTGAAGGCGGAACCTACACCATTGTATAAGTTCAGATGGTATCCTGAATCTAAAGGATTTATGCATGTTATGTGCAAAGCTAGCGGGAAAATTGTGATCTCTCTCTCTCTCTCTCTCTCTCTCTCTCTCTCTCTCTCTCTCTCTCTCTCTCTCTCTCTCTCTCTCTCTCTCTCTCTCTCTCTCTCTCTCTCTCTCTCTCTCACACAGATGCTTTTTCAATAAAAAAAATTTAAATATTTTTAATAGTTTATATGTTAATATTTGTAAATAATCTAATCCCTTTTCATAAAACGAATAAATCTTTCCAAAAGAAGATATATCGTAACAGATACGCAGAGTCATAACAAGCATTTTGAATATATAAATTGAATGATGTAGTCAAATATAAATCTTTTTTTTAATATATAAATTAGATAACTTTAACTCCCAAATATTTATTAAAAGTCTTCTCCTTCATAAGATTTCTCGTTCCACACTTAACAAAGACGTGTCGGCTTTTTTAAAGGTGGCAAGCGTGGAGGTTCCTTTGTTTGTGACATTTCATTTCATCAATGCATACGAAGAGAAAGATGAAGATGGAAGGATTACCGGAGTCATCGCCGATTGCTGTGAGCATCATGCCGACACCACAATCCTAGACAATCTCCGCCTTCAGAACCTCCGTTCATGGTCCGGGGAAGACGTCCTACCAGATGCTAGGTACACAACATTATGATTTTCTTAATCCAGCTTTAATTAATCAATTATTCTCTAACCAATCAGTAGCAAATTTGTCGCATATTTTTTTATATTTATTCAAACGCATGCTGTAGGGTTGGGCGATTTAGGATACCAATGGATGGAAGTAAAAAAGGAGAGTTATTTGCAGCACTAAATGCAGATGAACATGGAAGAGGAATGGATATGTGCAGTATTAATCCTTCCTTTTTAGGGAAGCCCTATCGATATGTGTATGCCTGTGGTGCTCAACGTCCTTGTAACTTCCCCAACACCCTCACGAAGGTACGTACCATGCCCTAGCTTTCAAATTTATGAACTACAAGTTATTTGAATATATTCTTTTGAGATATACAATTTATTCTCAAAATTAAGAATGAGTTACAACAATCACCCTACCCTATTATGTTATCAAAGGCTCGAGTATTGTTAGACACGCCTAGTGTGAGAGTTCCAAATCCAACATATTACTATATTAGGCTCATTGTGGGCATTAATAATGGGGTCTAATGTCCTCCACCTAGCTAACGGTTGTGTACCTTATTTATAGCTCATTGTGCTACTTTGGCTGGAGTTGTGTGGATCAACTTAGGGTTGCAGATAAATAACCTTTAAATTTAAAGACGGGATAGAATGAGTTCAAATGTAGATTAGGCTTCTTGTGTTCTGACATGATTTTGTTGATATAGCGTCATGGATCCTACATGGAAGTACCCCAAAAGAATTTCCAAAAAAAAAAAAAAAACTCCCTTATTTGGCACCCTCTGAAATAACAAAAAAAAACTCCAAATATGTCCAAATATCATAATGGTCTTTATTTATTTATTATTATTAACTATTTATATATGATGGGCCATGTTTCATTATGGATCTTCCACTAGCTCCATGGCATGTAAGAAATAATAACACTATGCATAAATGATTTAAATTTCCTAAAATAAATTAATGTTACATAAATGATGTATTAATTTACAGATCGACTTGGTGGATGGAAAGGCAAAAAATTGGTACGATGAGGGTGCAGTTCCCTCCGAGCCATATTTTGTGGCTCGCCCTGGTGCAGTCGAGGAAGATGATGGTAAGTTTGTAGTGATTGATTTAGCATTGTATTCCCCACAATACACACCATAATGTTTCGATTGTCTTCTAATAGACATCATAAACAACAATTTTATTTGCATAAAATCAAGATTTTCACAAACGGTGTTGTTCATTGTCACGACCCTATTATTGATGGTTTATATTAATCAACAGGAGTGGTAATATCAATGATAAGCGATAAAAATGGGGAAGGATATGCATTAATATTAGATGGATCAACCTTTGAAGAAATAGCAAGAGCAAAGTTTCCTTATGGGCTGCCATATGGACTTCATGGATGTTGGGTTCCCAAGAATTAGGACTAAAATATTGTTTTCAAACTCTAAGTAGGTACATTAGTTTATTTATTCATGAATATGTGTGAGTATGAGATTGTTATGTAGTTAAAACACATGATTTTAGGTATAGATCTTCTAATAGTATATCATTAAAAAAATATCTTGGGGTTCTGATGCTAATTGATCTTCCTGGGCTCTTGGAATGAATCACCTTAGTCAGATTGAGATAGTACCAAAAGAAAAAACAAGAAGGGTTAGGAGTATTATTGGGGTGTCCAACATAATACTCTTTGATGCTTAAGTTGGGGGTTCAAGACTTTGTGTATATGGAGAGAGAGAGAGAGAGAGAGAGAGAGAGAGAGATGGAAAGAGAGAGAGAGAGAGAGAGAGTGTGTGTGTGTGTGTGTGTGTGTATGTATGTGTGTGAGTGAGTGAGTGAATGTATGTGTATGTTTGTATATATATAAGTATGTGGTGTTGAGATCAGGCCTTGCCCTGTTTGTTGCTTCTTATGGGCTTTTATAGATGAATTGAAGTTGTATTTACAAAAAGTAATATTTTTGTCCTTGGCTACATATAGCGGATTTCATGGACAATGTCCATATCTTCCTATTGACCGATTCAAAGTATTCTACTTAGCATTCGGCTATCCAGATTTGGATGGTGGGTTCCCATTAAGCCCTCGATTCAAAATGACTAATTTCAAGTCAAAGATAATCTCGTTTGGACTTTCCATTATGATTATATAGTAAGTGTGTAGGTTCATACGCTATTCAAAAGCATGTGGTATTGTTGGAATTATAATGTTGGAACATCCCCTGTGAACAAACCCAAAACAACCGTAGGCTACATTTTTCTAAACTCTCTATCTCTTTATTCAGTATCATAACATATAATATATATACACGACCTAGCTGCCTACTCCACTTTAAAGGGAACAACTTCTACCTAGTCAAAGCAATAAAACAGGAGCCAACTAAACCTATCTAAACTATACTAAATATCTGCAAAATAAAAGTGGCCTACATGGCCTTTACTAATTCAAACTCTACAAGAAGGACTAAAATACCCCTAAGGATAATTACGTGATTGACTAAGTTTGGATTAACACCAACATTCTCCCCCTTAATCCAAACTATTCCTGTCAAACTTCTCTCTTTCTCTCAGTCTCTCTTTCTAAGGTAAACCATCGGTCTTGTTTACCTCCTTCGGTATTCGATGGTCTTCGGTCTAGTTGCCACCCGGTCTTGAAGCTTCTCATTCGGTCATGCTTCTTTCTTTCATTCTTCCACCAAATTAAAGTGATCAAACTTGCTGCCTGCTTTCATTCCTCTCAACATGCCTGCTTGTTTTCTTCCTCAACAGCCGTCTGCTGCCATCTCCAGGATCAAAACACCATAGCCAGACCTTCATCAGTCGACACCACTGTGAGCCTTTAATGCCACAGCAGAACTGGAATACATCACAGCCATAGTTTGATCCTCCTTTTTTCTTTCTTCGTTCCTTCAACCCACCCACACATACTTGCAGGTGAACAATGTTCCCATCTTCTGATCACACAGATCAACATTGTTCTCGTCTTCTGATCACACAGATCCATTTTTTTCATGATGACTTGCTTTACCACACAGATTAGCTTCACCACACAAGTTGCTTTCTTCTTGGTTCACCCAGAACTTGGATTCCGCACACTGCTTTCTTTTAAACCCTTAAACTCTCACAGATTGATCTCCAACACTCAATCATTCATCACACAGAAGCAAATTTAATCACACATATTTTTTGGTTTTGAACTGGGCTCACACAGAGCTTTGTTCGTCTCTCACTAACTCTTGTGGTTCAAAAAATAGCCCATCCTCTGTTATGTTCAACCTGACATCGATCCTCTACCATCACACAAAGACATCAAATGCATTTTCTTCATCAAACAACATCACCGGTAGAGACCTTCACTGACGCAGGAATCACCACCTGGTTCATCATCTTTATTGGCTTCTTCTGGTTCAAACATCATCACCAATTGCAGCACACACTCTTCAGCTGATTTCTTTTCCCCTTCGGTTTCCTCCCCAAACACATCATCATCTTCATAAAAAAACATATCTATAGACAACAACCATTCACCACAGGTTTCATCAGAACCTACCTCCCTAGTTAGCTCTGATACCAAATGTTGGAACATCCCCTGTGAACAAACCCAAAACAACCGTAGGCTACATCTTTCTAAACTCTCTCTCTCTTTATTCAGTATCATAACATACAATATATATACACGACCTAGCTGCCTACTCCACTTTAAAGGGAACAACTTCTACCTAGTCAAAGCAATAAAACAGGAGCCAACTAAACCTATCTAAACCATACTAAATATCTGCAAAATAAACGTGGCCTACATGGCCTTTACTAATTCAAACTCTACAAGAAGGACTAAAATACCCCTAAGGATAATTACGTGATTGACTAAGTTTGGATTAACACCAACATATAACTGTATATAGTTTTGTAGTATTAAATATTAAGTGACATCCCATGATTTAACCCGCCCATTACCCTTCTGTGTAAGGCAGTTACTTGGCGTTTTCTTTTTTTACTTCATCTTCATTAAGTTTGTTTCTTCTTCTTTTTGAACGATTTTTTTCTTATTTTTGTCTTCTACGATGATTACCTAAAGCCTTGGTGAGGCTACTTTCATGATTACACCTTGTAAAAGTTTATCGAATAATCTAGGAGTGTAATCTTACCATTGAAGATGATCCATAAGTCCTAATGAGTATGATGTCATTGTAAATCTACTCCATGGAAAGATATTGGTATATGAAAATTTTCTCGATGTTGGCCTTCAATTCACATAGACACGTCGCCGCTAATACCTTTAGCGGCGACAACCCTATCTTTTGCGGCGACTTGCGTCACCGTTAATGCCGACATTTCTTGTAGTGATATGGTTCATATGTAGCTGAATGTTGTATCTAAACTCTTCAACTTCGAACTTTTGTGTAAGTTGGTGGGTGTTTATGTTGACTTTTGACTATTTTTTTCAATATTGTTGAATAGCTAGTAGTGGAGATTGGTATTCCATTTTCATGATTAAGAAATGAACAAATAGGATCTTTTGGGTGATTTCCAACTTATACTCTTTTAGGAATGAGATTCGAAACCCTAGTTTTTAATTAGGGATTTGGCTCTTATTCAAAGTACTACAATATTGCCTTAATCAATGGGCATAGTGTAAAAGTCCATGTTTTTCTACAGCCATCTCTTGTTGTGGCCATTATAAGAACCTAGAATTTTTGTATAAGTATTCTAGATTGTTATTTTGTGTTTTAAGGCATTATGGTTACTTTGAGAAAACATATTTTGTAGAATGATATTAAGTGTCTTTTTTATATGTTGTTAGATGATTGAAGTAATGATATATGTTGTTATGTATAGAGAAAAGAGTTGGATATGATAGGTATAAGATATGGGTATTAAAACGTCTTTAAAAAGAACTTAAAAGTTCATTTCAGCTCTACCGCGGCACGATGGCTAGGGTGTCGTGGCGTCGTTGCTGAAGCGGTGATTTAGGTGAGAAATTGACGTAAGTCGGGGGCAACGTACTTTTCACCGTGGAGTGGTATTATGGAGTACACCGTCGTGGTGGCGAAAGTAGGATGCTATTAGGAATTGTCATCGCTGTGCTATTTGGAGAAACCGCATGTTCATTAAAGGCATCGTGGCGTGGTGAGGACTGTCCCACGGTGCAGTTTTGAGAGTAGATTAAAGATTTGTTAGGGTTCATTCTCGAACCAACCCCCCTCCCACAAACCTAAAGGGAAGCTCCAGGGATTTTGAAGGAGGAAGAAGGTCTAGTGGCGATCTACAGTGGAAATAGAAAGGATTGATCACTAGAAACTCTTAAGGTCGTGGCGAAGGAGGAGTTGGAGTTCTCCAAAAGAGGCGTTGAAGAAGGTTGGAAGTAAGTTGTTATTCTCTTCAAATAGGTTCAAGTAGCAAGCTCTAGTAAGAGTGGACTTAGAAGCATCAAGAACATGGATTGAATTTTTCTTTCATGCTTCTATTCTTCTTGTTTTAATTATGGTTAGGATATGATTGATATACCGGTATATGTTTTCTGAAAATACTTTTGAAGATTTTTGAAACTCTGGTTTGTAAACTCTGCTAAATACTCTGGTATTTTCAAGAAGTTTTATGTTATAATTTTATGAAAATACGGGTCGTTACAGCCATAATGGTCCCTTTCTGGGTATTTGACTTTTTACAGATGAATCATGACTCATCTTCGCATATCTATAAATTTGTTTTTATCTGAATGGTTGTATTTTATAAATTGACATGGTTTGTAAATGTGATGGATTAGTTTTGGATACTCAAACCATGTTTCTGAGGAAATTCCTAGGATTTAGAGTCGTAGGAATCGCCCCCAAATTGGTCACTATGAGCATAATAAAACTAAGTCATGAATATGTATGTAGTCTTAGTGATGTCATAGTTGTGGGTTTATCTAGGAGGCATGGATTAGTTTTGATAGTGGATTTATAAAAGGAAAAAATGTGATTAGGAAACGTGAGGGCTAGAAATGTATTAGGATTAAGATTATAAAAAGGTATGATGTAGAAAAGGTAATCAAATTAAATGGAAGTAGAAAACGAATAAATATTGTTTACGCCATATTATTGTAATTGAGGCGATTATATGCGCCAAGAAACATATAACGAAAAATTTTTATCTTTAAGGTCGACTTTGACAAGGTTTTTGATAGCTATAGTTGGGTTTTTTGAAAATATGTGGTTTGGTGAAAGATGGATTAGGTGTACGTTTGCACTTTTAATGTCGCAAAGTCTCAATCTTAGTTAATGGAATCCGACAAAGCAGTTTAGACTTGAAAGAGATGTTTTCTTATGCGATCGACTTTATTGTTGTGAAGGGCGTAAAAGTTACCATGATCGAGTCCATGGATAATGGGATATTCAAAGGTGCAACATTACCAAAAAAAATGGTCATTCTTATCATTGTTTCAATATGTTGGTGATGCCATTTTTTCGGAGAGCAAGAAAAATATAATGCATGTAACCTTGTGCGAATTCTTAGATGTTTTCATCTTTCATCCGTGTTAAAGGTTAATTTATCTAACATCAAGGTATGAATATTAGAGTTACTAACTTTGATACTAAACATATGGCTAACTAGATAAATTTTGGAGTTGGTTCACTGCCTTTCAAGTACTATTAGGATCCCGATTTGAGCTTTTTGTCCAAAAAAACTAACTAAATTCCTCTTTTTGAAATTTTTTATAAGAAACTCTCTAATTGGAAGGTGGTAAATCAATATATTGGTGGTAGACTCATCCTTT